TCATTTTGGGGCATTTCTGCCTTTGAATGCTTTTTTTTAAGTAATATTTTCAGCATCTCTTTTACCTTTTTAAATTTTTTTTTAACATTTATCCATTTTTGAGAGTGAGAGAGACAGAGCATGAGCAGGGGAGGGGCAGAGAGAGAGGGAGACACAGAATCCAAAGCAGGCTCCAGGCTCTGAGCTGTTAGCACAGGTCCTGACACGGGGCTTGAACTCATGGACTGTGAGATCATGACCAGAGCTGAAGTAGCAAGCTTAAGCAACTGAGCCACCCAGGCGCCCCTCTTTTACCTTTTTCTCCTATTTGTTTTTTAACTTTGCATGTGATTATTATAAAATACAATACTTAAATGGAAATAGTGCTTCCTCCAAAAATCGTTATGTTTATGCAGTATGGTAGACAATCTCACTATATAATCTGATAAATCTGTATCAATTTATAGACCTAGAGATAGGCATAATTAAAGTCCTACTAAGAAGAATATAAGGAACAAAGGGAAGTTGTCATGGGAACCAAAAATCCTGATTTTCCTCATTTTGTACCATAAAAGTATTAACCTCTATGATACCTTAATATTTTTTCTACATTGTATTTTAACCACTGGTCACTTTGAATATTGTATTTGCTATATACATAGCTAAATCATCACTTCCTACAATTTAGCTTTTTACATTACATTTTAAAATAGTTTTTTTTAAATCTGGCACTAGGAAGTTAAACTCTTCCTGCAAGAAGCAGTTTTTCTTAAGAGCAAAATAGTGTTAAAGGTTTTTTTCTCTGTGTAATTTAAAATAGTTCAGATTTCTAATATATTGACAATGTAAACATACCGGAGAAAAAATGATTCTACCACAAATTTAACACTTTAAATTTATCTTTCCAACCTCTTTGATACTGAGTTTTTTATTTCAAAAAATTGGACATATTTCATATAATGTTCAATAATTTGCTTTTTTTCATCTAACACTTACAATGTATTTCCAGGTTTGTAAATATTTACCGTGAAGATAATTTTAATAATTTTATTTAACGATTACCATAATTTTAAGTCTCTCTTTACATAGTTTCTGCTCTGTAATATGACAAATACGTTACAATAAACATCTTTAAATTGTTTGTACACCCCAGATTAATTCTTTATTGTGAAATCCTGGAAAAAGAATGTGTACTTCTACAGCTCTAAATGTATCTTTCTAAATGTTTATTTTTGAGACAGAACACAAGTGGGAGAAGGGCAGAGAGAGAGAGAGAGAGAGAGAGAGAGAGAGACAGAACCCAAAGCAGGCTCCAAGCTGTCAGCACAGAGCACAACACTAAGCTCGAAATCACAATCAGTGAAGTCATGACCTGAGCCAAAGTCTAATCCTTAACCAACTGAGCCACCCAGGCGCTTAACACTTTTATAGCTTTTTCTATGCTGTTAGTTTGGCCTCCATAAAGTATTTTTCTATTCTATGGGCTTTCCCAATTGCTCACTTTTCTGAACCCTCACCTTCATATCTACATATACCCACATTTAGAAATGAATATATATTAGCTTATTGTTATTTTAAGTCTTAGGTTTTTGACTATTTGTGAAATTAAATGCTTATCAGGAGGATTTGTATTCCTTTCTTTGAGAACTGCTTTCTCGTGTCATTCGTACTGAACTTTCTCCTAGAGGGGAATTTATTTTTCTATCCAATATTATTTCTCTTGGCATATTTCAAGATGCCAAAATCCACTTTAACCAACTAAATGACTACACTCTAAAATTAAGTAACCCGTTTCCCATTGGCAAAAAAAGGACTTGTGTTTTCCATTTACTGGTAAACCAGTTCAAAAGAAAATCATAAATATCTTTCCAGTACCAATTTAATTGTTTAGTACTATGTAAGTGTTACTATTAGAGTAGTCTAGGGGAAGGAACCTTGAATCAGGCTAAATCTTTGTAGGACAAATCACTTAACCTCTCCACATCCCAACTGTTTTCTGTAAAATAAGACCAAGTTGCTCTTCAGGGTGTAATGAGAATTGAGAATATTATACGAATGACAGTATTTTGGCACTCAGTAGGTCAGTAAGTGGCATCTTTAGTTTTCAATAGCCCCATTAGTTTTATTGTATCTTCAGACGTCCTTTGTTATAGTGGTAAAGTATAAGCTTTTTATTCCCATAAATATGAATTGAAGAGCCATGTAAATGCTCTAAGTTTTTCTATTTACAAACAGCATTATCTCTCAAAATAAGAAGGAGTAAGAATATTAACAATCAGTCTCTTTGTCAGTATATTAGATCCTTAATTGCCCATTATATTTCTGTATTTTATGAAAGACTTTCATTTCACAGTTAAGAAAAAGGAGCATTGTCTATAATCTTTTCTTGATTTAAAATAATTAGAAATAATAGAGATAATATCATTGACAAATAACAGTTGCAAGTTTATAGCTTTTACCTTTTTTGATAAAAACACTTCTAAAGCATACCTCATATCTGAAGAGGATTGGAAATATTCATTGCTTCATTAAAAAAATATACTGAATATACTTCAAATCCAACTTCTATCAAACAAGTATTTTTTAAATAGTCTTTTAGATCATTCAACTCATATGTAGAGATGTTTTATATTCCATTATAAACTGGAGCAACATGAAAATATTCAACAACCTGAGTGGCAAAGGACCCAACCATCTGTGCACACAAAGGCTAGAAAGGAGTTTGGGGTGGCAGCTGATCAATCTAGATGACCAGCAACAATACCTCACTTCTAGAAGATGCAAAAATTGAACTGAAACGTAATTAGACAATATACCTTAATGATGGCACTGTTGTATGTAGGCATTTGCATTTACTGCAATAATGTCTTTTAAATTCTACAGTAAACCATGATTCTTCAAATATCCTCAACTATCCTATAGAGATAAGAAATAATGCATATCATGTCTGGTAATTCTCACAGCAGAGGACCAAATTTAGTTTTTGAATACATACATACTAATATTTCATACATATGTATGTGTTTGTGTATATAATTCTAGTCTTAGCTGACTCACATGAAATATAAAAGGTTTGTTATTATCAATATCAGTAGTTTCACCTAAGTTATGCAAACCAGACTCCAAATTTTAGCAGGGAGACACATCCTAAGCTAAACACAACCAGAAAATCAAGAAAACCTTCTAGAAAGTGACCTTGAGTTGGAGAAAAAACTACAGTTTTCCACCATCTGGAAAATTCTGGATTGCCAAGTATTACTAGGGAGGGTAAGAGGGGGGACAGAAGGACCGATTGACTGATCTATTGATACAGTCCTAAGCTCATTGAATAGATTACCTCACTGCATACTCAAAAACCTTCTGTCTTTGGTAGGATTATTCTCACTTTACAAATGAAGAAACTAAGGAACGGAGAAGATCTAAGCCCCTATCTGTCTAACTCTACCCTTTCACGTTATATTAGTGAATATAGTGGAAATGTATAGTGAATACTAGTGGAAAATTAAAAGCTTAAAAAAAAATAACATTTGTAAAATGAAAACTGATTATCCGTGTGTATTTATGAGCCTCAGCCATCCCCTCCTTCCATGAAATCCAAAAATCTCTGGATTTTAAGATTATAATAATACATCCATACATCAGAGATTATTCTACTTACTGTTTATTTCCACTAAATACATAAGTATGCATAATTAATTCACAAAAGACTCTAAATCTATAAAAATCCTTTATCTCTTTTCTGGTTATTTCCATTTCTTTGCAAAAGGGACTTATAGGTCCATCAACTTTCCTGCTGAGACTATGAAGTTACTTTGCCCAGACATGTTTGTATTTATCTATTTCTGCCCCAAATCCTGTTCCCTTTCTTAACAGCACTGCCTGAAATCTTAAGTCATACAGTAAAATTCATTATTAAAGCCCAGAATATGTTTAGGCTGGAGAATAGGGCTTCAATTCTGCCTCTTTAGAACGCCTTCTGCACTGCACATGTACTAAAAAAAATCCAGGTAAGACAGGTTTCAGTTTCTTTACATTTCAGAAGGCAGATAAATTAAGAGGTCAAATGTCCTATCAGAATGCATTCAGCCAAGAAATAGAACCAGAACTGAGGTCTTCTGTATTCAAGGCTAAGAGGTTTTTACTGGCTACCTTAGGGACTAATTGTTTTTTGTTTGTTTTTTTTTAATATTTTGGAGATAAACATTTAAAGTAATTGAATACATTAACTTAATAGAATAACTCAATAATCTAATCAAGATGAATCAACAGAAATGGTTTGACAGACAAGACATGTTTCATCATCATTTCCTTGATACATACAGTCAATCATGCCACATTTACAGTGGCTTCAAACATTTACCCAGCAAGACAACTGAATTATTGATCACAGTATTGTCTACAGTAAATGTCAAAAATAAATGACTGGGAGGAAAATGTACCATCAATAAATGAAATTCAAAAGCTTCTCTAGGACACTCCTGATATCTTACAGTGTCCATGTTATACTAGTATTCTCTATAACCGTTTTAAAAGTAACTAATATTTTGAATGCATGCTATCATTTATCAACATTTTGAATATAAATATTTAATCTTCCTTTCCTTTTAGAAAATACAAAATGTTCAGAGTATAGAGCATATATGTTGTCAGCAACTGTTTCATACACAGTTCTGTAATGTACAGGTTAGAAGTTAAATCCGCACAATAAATAACTGGCAGTATAAACAACTAGTAGATTTGACAGCTCACATAGTATTGTTGGGACAGTGTTTTCAGTAAGTACGTCTGGTCTTACCTTCTAGGAAAGACTCTCCACCGTGGTTCCATAAATACTTTATGAACCAACATAAAGTAATATGCTAATGATAGACTATTTACCCGGGGAGCAGGTGCACTCTCTAATGTGTTTCATCTCTGGTGCACCTTTGATGTGGGATCAGTTAAGCCATTTTGAATTGTTCTTTGTTTTATTTATTTATTTATTTTGCTTCCCTCCCCTCTTAGATTCACCTGAACCTAAAATGGTGAGCGAGAGTCACCATGAGGCCCTGGCAGCCCCGCCAGTCACCACTGTTGCTACTGTCCTACCACATAATGCCACAGAGCCAGCCAGTCCTGGGGAAGGAAAGGAAGATGCCTTTTCGAAGCTGAAGGAGAAGTTTATGAATGAGTTGCATAAAATTCCACGTAAGTACTATATATGGTTGGTAGAGTAAAAATAAATGCTTAAAAAATGATCTTATGCACGGGGCGGGGGGGGGGGGGGGGGGGGGGTGCCGGGGGACAGAACTCCTCTTAACTTACATTTGATTTTTGTTAATTGTTGGCAGGGTAGCATTCCAATAATAAAATGGAGTATTAGAAATGGAATATTTTTAAGTCTTTAAATATACTTTATACATGAAAGCCCAGTTTATAAAACATTTCTACCTTGTGTTTCATGCAGGTGGGGTCTTTTTTAAATGTCTATTTTTCTCTAGAATATTAATGTTTATGAGTTGTACTGTATATATTTTTAACTTGTATTTATGAAATTATTCCATTATAAAGAGTATTCCTAAACAATGGCTAAAATGGACTTTCCAATATTGCAAGCTTGATTTCCTTTAATTTACTAATATATCAAAATCTTCTGCATGGTTTTTAAATGTTTCTTTGTTCTCATCAGGAAAACCTAAACAAAAAACAATAACCTGTAGTTAAGCTTATTTGTATGAGTGCAGTGCTAAGTTCAAAACCAGTGGTGTTTAAATCTGAAACAGGTTTTTTTTTTCTTCAGATGTGAACATTTATCATGAACTAGACATTTTTTTCAGATGCTGGGAAAACAGATTTTCCCACAAAGCTTTTCTAGTGAGGAAAAGAATAAATCCATCTAGATGCAAATATAGAAAGTCATGTGGTCATAAATAAGAGAAACTGAAGAAGAGTAGGTGGGATGTGGAAGGGCATAGACGGTAAAACATTATTTTTTAGGATGAGCAGGGCTGGTTTCTTTTGTAAGGAACCCTGGAAGAAGTGGGGGGGGGGGGGTTATAAAATGTAGGAATTCTGGACAAAGGCCCTTAGGCAAAAATCTGCCTGAAACAGCAAGGAGGAGCCCAGTGAGCCTTACGTAGAGTGAATAAGGTGGAGGTGGGCAGAAGGGGAACTCAGATTGTAGCACAGGCCGTATCATGTGAGCCTTGTCAATTATTCTATGTAACTTGAATCTCCTATGAGTGAAACAAAATGCCTCTGGAGGGTTTTGAGGAGAAGTGTCCCAGGATCTGACTCAAGTTTTTTAAAGATCATTCTAGCTACTGTGTTGAAAATGGGCTCTAGAAAGACAAGGACAGAAGATAAACAGGATGTTGCAATAATTCAGGTGAGAGATTTATCAATCCCTAAGAAAATTATTCTATAAGGACAATGAGAAACCAAGTGAAAAAAAAAAAACTACAAGGAATCAACTTCTTATCCATCAGTGGCTAATAATTTATTGATCTGTCTACTGTTAACAAATTCAAGTTCATCCGAGAGACGCTCTCGGCATAGTTGCCAGTAATTACCATTCTCAACAGGAAGATCCATAACCTAGTAGAGGTGGAGATGGCCCAATAGATGAAGTCCTAGGATGAGAACCACAAGTTCTCTTTCCTGCTCTGCTACAAAGCTGATGGCTGATCCTGATACAACTTCAAGGTCATAACTACAAGACACAAACCAAAATGCATGTATCATGGGGGCAAACTCTCACTTGAATATTTTACCAAAATGATTGCTTTAAGAGAGATGAGTTAGCAGAGAAAGAAATGAATAACATCAAATAAAATGCATACTCTGCCTGGTCTTGAACACCACCATCTCCTTCTTCAGAAGAGTAAACAATATGAGTGGTATGGCAATGTTATTAACTATAGGATTGGATGTTCCCCATGTAGCCAAAAAACTCATTCTCTCCTCTCCTTTAGGCTTTGCCTAAATGTCATCCTCTTAGTGAAGGACTTTCTCAACCATTCTACTTAAAATGATAACCCATTCATCCCACCTCATCTTTGCCAGCAATTCCTGTCCTCACCCTTGCTTTCTCACCATAGCACAGCTTTGCAGATGGTGCTATTTATTATTTGTTTTTAAATTGCTCTGGCTCCCTCCAAAATAGCATAAGCTCTATGAGAGCAAGGAATTGGGTCTGTTCTTTGTGGGGTTCGAGCACAGGTGGTGCCTGATACATAGGAGGCACTCCATATCTACTTGTTGAATGAATAAATGAATGAATGTCAGTTTAACTTATGTCCTGAACCACCCTAGACTTTGAGGTCTTAAGATGCTGAAAAATCAAATCATCTTAAATATTTTTAATTTTTAATGCTAGGAATTATTCCAGTGCTTGACTGTGTCATTTACACTGAAAAAAGCAAGTTGTTTTCATCTTTATAGCGACACTTCCATCTTTTAGCCTTTGCTACTTAGAGCCAACCATTCTGTACTTTATATTTCCCTCCCATTTAGCAATAAGAAAACAGGCAGCTGGAAAAAAGTTATGAAATGCTCCCTTCTTTCCTTTCTTTCCCTTGACTAACTTCATTTCTTCCCAAGCTATTGACCCACTCCCATGTCCCTTTCTTAGACACTGGGCAGGAGACCCAGGTGATCCCTTGTTCCTCCATGGAGGTTTACTTTTGATCAGCAATCTAATAGAACTTCAAAGGATCTGGGTAACTCCTATGAAAATATCATGCTGCTAGATCTATACTTGATTTAATAGAAAGGAACAAGTCAACTACCTAAATCTTAAAATATTACGGTAAATTAGAGTTAGAAAAACTTATATAAGTACAGCCATGTAGTTTTATCAAAAACTCATAACTGCATATTTTACACCTTTATTTTAATCTACCACAGTTTTTACTGCCTGTGTAAAAAATTTCTAATGGGATGTATACACAGGGAACAACACTAAGCAAAAATAAAACATATCCTGAAAATCAAATTCCTTTAGGAGCATATGTTATGTAAAGGTTATCACTTTTGACTTGGCATAATCTAGTGTGACACTAATGACAGGTAACAAATTAGAATATTAATTGATTTCAGTCTCTGAACTAAATCTTGGCTATCTGGCAGATGTGTTTTTTGCAAAATTGATAGCAAACAGCTTTAGTCTGTCACTTGAAATTCCCACTTGTGAGAAGAGAGGTGTCACAATGGCAAGGAGTTTGCATGTCATTAGTTGGGTAATCTGCACAGTCCAGCATGGAACATATTCAAACCAAATTGCCTGATGATATCATCCATAACACCATGGGGCTTAAAATTTAAAAAAAAAAAAAAAGGAAAAGGAAATGGTACATGCTGAGCATTTTTATCTTTCAATTCATTCTGCACACTGTTATCTAAATGAAGCAGACAAGGTTTTTCAGAATGTTTCTTTATTTTGCAACTTTGATTGTAATATGACTGGGGTCATGGTTGGTTTGTAAAGCATGAACTCTGTGTCATCCAAATAGCTGTGATTAAGGTTTTGATATTCATGAGCTTCTTGAAGTAGAGTGCACCCTTCCTTGAGCACAGCAGAAAACCAAATATCCACAACCTGTCCCTTAGTGCAGAGTAAGAGTGGACGAAGGGTAATTGTGTAATTTATGCAGAAACACTACTGGATAAAACGTTGAATGGAGGGATGGAAAACACAAGCTCTGGACTCAGACTGCATGGGTTCAAATCTAAGCTCTACCACATACGCGTGCTGTGACCTGGAATGTTCATCTTTCTGGGAATCAGTTTCTTCCTGTGTAAAATGGGGATGAAAACACTATCTCCACCACAGGTTTGTTGGGTAAAGGGAGCAATGCATACACAGCGCTTAGCAGAGTGTGTGGCACGGCGTAAACATTCTGTAAATGTTAGCTAATATTAAACCCAAGCTGTCATTTTAACAAATCTATTTCCATGTTAGAAAAGCCCTCAGTTCATGTCAGGTAGAAACCCAAATTATGAAAATTCCAAAACTTTGCAGCCAAATATGTGCACCTTGCATTCTCTAAACCCACTCCAGTGATGCATGACCTAGGAAGATGAATTCTCTCATGGTGTTTCCTCTGCCCATTATCACCTCCAACTTTCCCTTTTTCTTTTTTAACTCCTGTAATTTCACTCACTCCTTCATTCCTTTTAGCCTATGCATATGCTCAAGGTTCACATATCTGAAAAAGCCTAGCAGAATTTGGCACACAGTAAGTGCTCAAGGAATGTTCATTTTTCTTCTTTCATGCACTAAAATTTTCTTCTCCTTACCTTACCTCTCTGTCAAGCTACCATGCTGTCTTCTTCTTTCGTATCTACACCAAAATTTATTGAAAAGCCTAACCTTGATCCCGACATCTATTTCTTCACATCCCATCAATGACTCACCTCCTTCCATGCTGATTTCCATCCTGCAAGTGACGTTAAAATTGTTTTCACTTGAGTCACCAGGTACATCTTGATGCACGATTATGAAGGTTATGATCAACCTTCGTTCAGTCAGATATTTTTGTATCACTAGCACTATCAGCCATCATCATCTGTAATTCTTGATATCCAGGACCCTACTCTCATTTTCACGTCTTCCTTCTCCACCCACCCTTTCCATTCTTTCATTGACTGGTCCTCCTTTTTCATGGTCTTCCCTTCCCTAAAGTGGTACAGGATTGAGGATTACAATGTTAACCCAGTTCTGGGTTTATTTGTTTGTTTATTTTGTTTTTTCAACATGCTCTCCCTGGGTGATCTCACTCACCTAGTCTTTCAAATAAGAGATCTCACTATTACCCTTGTCTCCCTTAATCTATTTCAGCTCCAATCCTATACCTGCAATTCATTTAAGTCCTGTTAATGCTGTTCATGAAAAACCTCTCAAAACCTGCCAGCACTCTCATGGTCCAGTGTCTTCTCTCATGTTTTTCTCTCTTCCTGGACTCCCTTTCCCCATTAACACTGACACATTCTTTTATCATCCAAGAACCAGTTCAGATGTTATCACTTGGATGAGAAATTTCCTCATTTCCTAAGGCAGAATTATGTGAGTCTTCCTCCAACCTTCCAAAGCACTTCATGAAAATCTTTATCTTGGTTATTTGGTTTTGTTTGGGGCCTGTCCTTCTCACTGAAATGTAAATTGCTCAGAGATAGGAACCATTTCTCACACAGGTTTGTATTCCCAA